GCTTCCCCAAGTCAGCCGCTGGTCAGTTTCAGCAGCAGCAGACTTGGGGAAGCCGGAGGCAGAGCACCTCCAATTGTCCGGCTGGCCAGAGCACTTCCTGGTTCCAGTTGGTGCCGGACTATCAGGAGTGCCGGACCACTGGATGCCAGACAATTGGAGTTTTACAATTTATTTAAATCCACCTATGTAATTAGTCTTTAACACCATAGACTATGTAGATATTTAAAAAGTTGTTCACAGCTTTATCTTGGTAGTATTCGGGCAAACAGAATACAAGCACACATAGCACCAACAAATTCAGGATTTGGTCATTAAGTGCATTCAAAATGAATTTTTAGAAAAAACAATAAGATTATTTTATCATCTGCCAGCACGTCATTTGGGGAAACATACTGACTAGACAAATTAGACTAGAGAGACAATATGTTTGTGAATAAAGGATAGCCTTAACATAATTATAAAAATACCATCATTTAGAATTAAGGTACATTTGGAAGTGTGTTTTCTAGGTTTCCGGCTGATCGAGAAGCTCAATATTTTTCATTTTAATTGAAATATTACCGTCATTAGCAAATCTATGTACAAAAAAGTCAGAACAAAGGTCAACACACATTTAAAACTGAGAGGGGCACAATATTACAGTGAAGAAAAATGCAACTGAGAATATTTGCGTCCATAAACATTCTAGTTCAGGTGATGGTAACCCCCCCCCTCCCCCACTCCTGTATTTCAGTAATGCATTTCTTGTATTCACAAGTCTCCCAATTCTCCCTAACATTGATTTTAAAACATATCCACTGGTGATTAGCCTTTACAATTTTTGATTTTTCCTTTAAGATTATGTTGGGAGTTCGCTTTGTTTTTGTACAGAAAAATCAATCACAGCACAGGCAATGGATTGTAGTGTTGTGGTAAAAAAAAAAAAAAAAAAGAACACACTATACAGGCAACAGTTGAGCAAGCGTTTTTTTTTTTTTAATTATCTCTGTGGCATGTCATTTCCTCTTCTGCATATGCCTAGAGGAGGGACTCTGATTATGAGAACAGCTCTTATTACTTCTGTCATAATGTGCAGGTGCAGAAGTAATCACAGATGTGAGCTGGAGAAGCTCCAAGAGGGGAGAGACACCACTTATATACATCAGGAGAGAAATCATTCTGCTTTTGCTGCGACTGGCGGAGCCATTTTCTAAGAGAGCATGATCAAAGTAGCAGGCAGTTCATGTTCCATCAGTTCTAACTTTGGCACCAGTCAATTAATGTCTTAAGCAATGAGGGGTAAAGCAAGAACAAAGCCTCACTATCTCTTCTCATCTTTTCCTCACAAATGTTTTAGTATCATTAGAAGCTATATACATACAGACATTTGCTATCTACACTAACAGGAAGTGGTGCAACTGTTCAAGATCTGGAAAAAACATGCCTCTTAAGGGATGGAGTCACTCCAGGATTGAGTGCTTCTTTTCCAACAAAGACCTTTCATATCATTCATTACAAGGTAAATCCTGACCCTTCCAAGTGGTCATGGAGAACCTGACACAATTTAGCCACATGGTGACTGAGTTTGGGCATGCCTGCATGATGTGGAGCTTTTCTATGAAGACTCCCTGCAGCACAGTGAACCAGAACCTGGGAAGAGGACAAAACCATTCTGGGCAGCAGACTGATATAATCAGATCCATACTAATCCACTGGACATTCTTTATGCTGCAATAGTGGCAACAATGACTTAGGGGAAGGATGCCATACCTCCGTGACACTTCTAGTGTGCTAAATCCAGCTATTCAGAATCAGAACTAGGACAGCGGTTTTACTCTTATGGGAGAAAGGTAAATGGCAGTGTACTCCATGCACTTCCTAATTCTAGGAACTGCATTCCAACATCGAGGCACCTGTCCATAAAACAATACAGGGGACACAGAATATCTTTACCAGAAAAGACCTTTTATTTACAGACCCCAAACCAACCTTTAATTGGATAAATTATAGAGAGTATACATTAAACTCAAAGAGCTCCCCACCCACTCCCCAAAACAAGGGAGGGAAAAAATAACCTTGCAACTCTAATGATCATGAACTAAGGTTCTAGCTCCTGGCATGTCTAGTTACACAATGTGCCCAACTCTGATTTTGTCATTTTGATCTTTAACTCTGTAAAACTCTAGTTTGGCTTTAGTATTCTAGGGAGAGCCCTACAAATTCACTAGCATGTAAATCATATCACAGACTGAAAAAGACCTCCCCTGTGAACTCTAGCTACAGGAGTGGAGGAAGAGAAGCAGGGCTGGGGATGCAGTTGCTAGTCTGCCAGGCTGGGGAGGGGCAGGACCGCCTCTTCCTCTGCATGGCTGCTCTTGGGGGGAGATCAGGCCCATCTACAACTATCCTGGCTGCAGGAAGCTCCGCAGGTATGTTGCCGCAGGGCAGAAGGCACCTTCACTGGATTCAGCTGGGCTCTGAAGGCAGTACAGCCATGGAGTGGCCTGTAGCCTGGAAAGGTAGCCAGAGGTGGATCTGATCTCCCACCCTGCCCGCCCCCCACAAACAGCAATTGTGCAGGGGAAAAGGAAGTCCCATCCCACTCCAGCCTGGCCAGAACTGGCAGCTGGGAGCCCCGAGGGAGATCAGGACTGCAGGAAGCTCCGCCACTGCTGCCTTCAAAGCCCAGTTGTCAGTACCCCACAACAGTTTTGTGACTCCTCACATTCGCTTTTGGGTTGGGACTCGCACAATTACAATACCCTGACATTTCAGAGGTAAGCATCTGAAAATGTGAAACTGACCAATTTTAAAACTCTCTGGAAATGACATTAATAAAAAATGGCCCTTCCTACTGGTGCTAAACAAAACTTCACAAAGTTTCAGAGCAAGATGATTACACACCACTTTCTTCATTGGGAAAGAGCCTAGCATAGGCCACTGATCATTTTAAATTATAAAACTTCAATGTAAAGGCTTGAAACTCAGATTCTGAGAGCTGACTTGGCAAAAACTAATCTTATTCTTATGCATGTTTATACTCATATTCAGAGAGTTAATCAGACTGTTTATTCAGAGACAAATATACTATGTAAAATGT